TCTAACAGTTCGCCCCCCCCACCGGTCTAATACGTGCGAAGAATAAACAGGATAAATAAACACTAAACAGGATATTGCTCAGTGGCGGATCAAAGGATGTAGAGCGGTAAATTGCGCCCGCCCCCAAAGCAGCGTAATATACGACAAGCAGAAACATGTAGATAATGAATGAAACAATTTAGACACAAAATTTCGACTGAACTGGAATGTGTACATAAACTCCTGTAGCTTTCTATGTATTGTCCTTTTTTTCCAAACTCGTACTTACAACTGATATCATATTTATAGCAATACTTAACAGAAAGTGCCAACATTCGTTTCAAAGTCCTTGCTTGATGCTCCTCTAATGCTAAAACTTCACTGACGAACTTTCCTCCTCCTCCAGACCCCTTGCCTATGGCCCTATGTCTTCAATACTTGGTGTCCTCCCTCCCATGCCCTCCCTCTTTATATATCCGCTAATGGTACTGTCATGTTTCCAGATGCAGTAAATTAATTGATAAAGAATTGCAACGAATCTATTCAGGATCCTTATCTAATGCAGTGTTGGTGTCACTGAACGTGATAAAGACGGGGACATCCTTGATCGGAAAAGCTTGCATAAAATGTTGTATTCTGAAAATCAAATTATAAATGTTTATCACATTGATATGGACGTTTTCCTTGATCAAATATAAATGTGCTTCTGTTAGTATTAATGGTCTCCTCACTCACATAAATTGCCTTAGGATTTCTGCATAATAAAAAAAACAATAATGTGACAATAATCAACAGTGTTCTTCTTAAACTGGTTGTCTTTTTCTGGATTTTGATAAATGTGTCTTTTTATTCTTTTTGTTTATTTATTCTTTTTTTTACACCACTCTCTTTCGGAAGCCCGTCCCATGTTTTGTACTTGTTAACCATGGGCGCCGGAAAATGAAACACATCAGATACGTTTAATTAGTCATTTTAACATTTCATTTCACTATAGCAATGTATTACAGACATTAATACTCATTTAAGTCCAATTATGTAAACAAAGCGTTCTATATCTAATCAAACCTACATGAGATTACATAAAGATGAAAATATTTCTTCTTGCATAAACAAGCATAATAGTTAAAACATGAAATTGCATGTGAGAAAAACATTCCTATTTTGATTAATTAGAATCAAACATTAAGCAAGTTAAATACTACATTTTTATTCAAAAATTGAAAACATCTGAAAATGTTGACATTAGTACATAAATATTGAGCATATGCCAGTATATTGGAAGCTTGAATTTGTATATTAATCATAAAACACGAGAGATTTGTTTTCTTGTTGAACTAGAACAGGTGGTTCTGTCTACTGACGCTAGATAATCCCCGAGTTTTAAGATGTCTTTTTAAATGAAAAGAAATATTACACAAAATATGTTGCTGAAGAATATCAGATCTTAATTCGAAAAGAGAATTTTGGCCTTTCGGAAAGAAGAAAAACAATCAGCATTTTCAGCTTTCCATAGCAGGTAAACATGAAAATCAATGCAAACGGCATCTCAGAATCTGATCAGGGTAAGCCTATTTCAGTCTATTGGTCAGGACATCAAAATGTTTCTCTATGATGGAAATCAGGAATGGATGTTGGTAATTATTCTAAATATTTTACTTTTAATATTCAAATAATTTTATTCAAATAATACCCAGCAATTCGGACGCACCGCAGCGCCTACCCATGTTTCCTTCCCACGGCCACCTGCTGCTGCGCTCGCAACTGCAGGAAGTTGACCCTGAACTGAGCAGCGGGGAGGCCTTTGGTGCCAAGACCCGTCACGGCAAAGGTTCCTCCCGACAAAGGGCTGGCCTTGATCTCCTCCGGGGTCATCCCGAGGGTCCCGGAGGTCACGAAGAGGATGGAGTAGTCGGGTCCCCCCCAGCACACCGAGCTCACGTTCTTGGCAGGAATGGCGACCCGGCGGAGGATCCTGCCGGTGCGGGGGTCCACGCAGATGACCTGCGGGCGAGACAAGGGGAGGGTTCGATGAGGCAAAGTAGAATAGTCACGAATGAGAATGAATAATTTCACAGCGCAAAAGATGTGACTTTTGTAATACCATATTCTGCTTTCATCAGAATTCCGTTATTCTAATGAAGGTATAACATCGAATAGGAAGTAATATCAGGATTATCATAAGAAAAAAAATAAGAATAACGGGTTGGGCAATAAGAAGACTATATTGATTATATCAAAACGTAAACGCACTTCACGGGAGGAATGATTACCTGATGTGCGCCGAAGGACGCCACCCACAGGTTCCCGTCGACGTCGATCGCCATTCCATCCGGGAACTGGTCCCTCAGGCCGGCTTTGTTGAAGTCGATGATTACGCGTCGATTGCCTGGGAGAGGGCGGGGAGGGGTGGGGGTTGATCGATATACATATTGCACGTATATATATCTATATATATTTGTGTGTGTGCGTGTGCGGGTGCTTGTGCATGTGCGTGTGCGTGTGCCTGTTCGTGTGCGTGTACGTGTGCATGTATTTCATAGTTTTAAAGGCCATAGATATACTCTCAGAGACAAATACTTGGTTTCATTTTGTGTTCTTTTCCCCTACTCACTGATGGCTCCGGACTTGTCGTCGTAGTCGAAGACGTCGATGGTGCGAGTGTGAGAGTCCACGTAATAGAAGTACTTCCGGTCCAGACTCCAGTCCATGCCGTTTGACAGGGACACCTGCGGGTGATAGCGGTGGTCCTGCGTTATTTTTCGTCCTTTTTTCTTTGCCTGTCTCTCTTTATTTACCTATTGTCTCTATTTATATGTCTCCTCTCTACCCCCCCCCCCCCGCCTCTCTCTCTCTTTCTCTCTCTCTCTCTTTCTCTCTCTCTCTCTCTCTCTCTCTCTCTCTCTCTCTCTCTCTCTCTCTCTCTCTCTCTCTCTCTCTCTCTATCTATCTATCTATCTATCTATCTCTCTCTCTCTTACATTCACTCCCTTTCCTTCCGCCTCTTCATCTCTCTCTCCGCTCCCTCCTTTGTTTCTAAATGTCATTTTAAATTCACTCATCCCACTTTATCAATATAATAACGAATACTTCACTAAAGAATTTAACTGAATCTACCCTCAAAATCGGCAACTACGATGCTAATATCAATAGTACTGCCCATAATAAAGCCGAAAGTGACTTACTGTAGCCCACTTAGTGACTTCAAGCTTGCTGTCCATCCTGTACAGACCCGAAGCGTTAACCTCCGTCACCTGCACATTTTCGTCCAAAGGTACTGTCGTGCCTGCCAGGGGGTAGAAAGAGTGTAATTTAATTGTTATGTACTGTCCCCTGCTGTTGCTGTAGCTTGAGCTCCATCCTCAGTAAGGCTACCCTGGGAACACCTCACTTCTACTGAGAAACGTCTTTCCTGATGAATACTCACTGTCAAGGGATAAACAAATGATTCTTAAGTGCAGGTTTCTTATCCTACCAAAGGGACAGCTTGTATCAGGCTTGGCAGGTCATTTGCCTTGTGTCCTTGGCTGGGATGGCTCAAAGTTGTTATTACATTATTAAATCTTCATAGGTGTGAAGAAAGTCCGTCTTAAAGAAAGGCTATTGCTATTCTACTGTGTTTATTTTCTCAGTTTGTTTTAATGAATCGGGAATATGATTTTATCTTTTACACATAACATTATTCATTATGTGTTTAGACTTATATATGTTTTATTTCACACTGTACTCCGTGTTTAACAAGGCAAAGATGCACTTGAGATTGATTGATTATTTAAAATTATCTGCCGCGTCAACAGTTAATGACATTAGCGGCGAATGCCTAGTGGGATTAAAATGATAAAATATCTAAATCGTTAAAAATCTTTCAATAAATGAAGTCTCTTATAAGTAAAAATAAATAACAATAGATATCA